GTCCTTGACTTGACTGGAAGAGGTCACGGAAGATTTGACCTCCTCCGGCTGATTGTCGGGGTGGTTATGATGATGATGCAAATGATGATGATGACGATGATGATGATGATGATGATTATTATTATTATTATTATTATTATTATTATTATTATTATTGCTATGATGGAGGTGATTATGCTCGTCGTCATCGCCATTTTCAGGGATATGAAGGTCGTCAATGGAAGCGTAAGTTGAGTTGACATCGTTGTCGTTGCTGTGATCATTGCTGTTGTTTTTGTTGTTATTATTATTATTGTTGTTGTTGTTATTATTGTTGTTGTTGTTGTAGATGTTGTTGTCGTCTGATGTGAGCACTTGAAGATGTTTCATCAGTTGTAAGTAAGGCTGGCTGATGGCGTCCATATTGAAATCTTTGAACATGTTATTGTTGTTGCTGATGTTGTTCGTGTTGTTGTTTGCTTTAATGTCACTGTTTATGTTGTTGTTGCTGGATGTGACGCTGTTGTTTGTGTTGTTTTGAAATAACTCCATGCATGTTTCGAGCCGCGTGTAGAATGCCTTCAAAGCATCAACTCGTCCGATGTTGTTCATATGCGTGGGGATTGAACTAAAGTTCGAATCATTTTCGTGCCGTCCATCACATTGTTCTTTTTGGCTTTTCATATTTTTTAGTTCTTCGTTTGCAGGCAAGATGGTTTGAGACTGAACTAAGTTGTCCAGTTCGGAGAGAGCTTTGTTTAATATCGAACTAATTTCAGATATGTTCATAGAATTATGTATATTGTTGTTGTTGTTGCTGATGATGCTGATGTTGTTGTTTTTGTTGTTGTTGCTGCAGCTGCTGGTAGAGTTAATGTTATTTTCGCATTCTTTCATCGTAAAAAATGTTTCTTCTGCTGTTGAGGCTGTTGTTGATGTTGTTGTTGAGGTTGTTGTTGATGATGTTGTTGTTGAGGTTGTTGTTGTTGTTGTTGATGTTATTTTTAATGCGGCTGGTTTTATAGTGTTAAACTTAGACGACGACGACGATGAAGATGATCTTGTAAAATTCTCAACACAATCATCACCCCCACCAGCTAATGACTGCTTGCCATTGTCACATCCTTCATCATCATCATCACCAACATCATCATTACCACCACTGCACATGGGGTTCTGATAAGGATTGGAGTCCTCTAGAGCAGCCTGACTCAAAGTGTGATGGTTCAACTGCACTTGTAGGCAGACAAGCTGCTCTAAGATTTCGTCTAGGTTTAACTCGTTGTTGTTGTTGTTGTTGAAGTTGATGTTGTTGTTGTCGTTTGAAGCCATGGTCGTCTCTGTAGTATCCACATCAGCTTCTTCTGCGGTTGAGGCCGGGACGATTTCTTCCCCTACAGTGAGTGGAAAGTGAGTGCGCTGCAAAAATGAGGGAGCCATCGCGGATGGGAGGAATGAAATCGAGGATGACGAAGCAGAGAAAGGAGGGAAATTTAAAATAGACAAAAGTAAGAGAAAGAAAGAGATACAAAGAGAGAGAGAGAAAAAGAGAGAGAGAGAGAAATTGAAAGAAAGAGGACAGGAAGAATAGATAGATGAATTTTTATTTTTTGCCCGTGTAAAGGTTAATATGTTGCAACATGAATGTATATGTATCTATCTATCTATCTATCTGTTTTTGTATGTGTGTGTGTATGTATGCGTGCGTGTGTGTGTGTGTGTGTTTATAACAATGGTTATGATGATGATTAATAAGCAACTGACGATGATGATGACGATGATGACGATGATGATGATGACGATGATGATTAACAATATAACAATTCTACTGATAAATGAATATCTCCGTATTAACAGGCGTAGATGGATTGATGAATGGATGGATGGAGTAATAAAAGAATGGATAAACAGACAGATGGAGAGATTGAAAGGAAAATGAATGAAACAAAGGAGTGCATGGATAGACAGATGAAGGAATGAAGAAATGAATGCAAGGAGTGAATGCTGAATGAATTAATGAATGAATGACA